ACGAAACGGGGGAGCCATATCAGCCGCGGCTACGCCTCGTGAACCCGGCGATAAACCGATCAAACCGAACAGGTAGAACGGCCGGAGAAGCGAGGAACCAGGAAGAGACGTATCGATCCTGCGATGAAAGTTTCCTCGGCGCACGATCGAACGTCGATCGGACGATGATGACCGAGGCGAGGGTCGAATCGCGCCTCTCGATCGATTAAAAAGAATTTTAATTACCACAGCATTCGCCATTTTTCTAGAAACCGATCCGATCGACGTAGTGAACGTCGCCGTACCTTCGTTTGCTCGTTTCTCACCCGCTGTTGGTTCTCATCGTCGGTGCACGCGCGCCGACGTCTCGGTTACGACGTTAAAGGAAATAAACAGTCGGGCGATATCGTTCGCCAAGCGGGAGTCTAATTAACCGAATGCAATTAGTGGCGCGAGCGAACAAACGCTCGTTTCCGCTATTCGGTCTCTCTCTTCTATTCGACTATCGTTCGAACGATTTTCACGAAGGAACGAAGAAGCAAGAAGAGAAGGTGTCTTTCCACTGGCAATTCCATCGTACGGTGGAATGTCAAGCGAGTCGACGCGATTTTCGCTTTATCGCGCTGTATCACACGCAGATGGATCGTAACGCGTACGGCGCGGTCCGGTTGTCGGGACGAGTTTCGAGCTGGCGCCGATTAATTCGTGAAATATCGTCGATTACCGTCCGAAGGGGGTGAAGGCATGCTTGAGAAACGATTCATAACAGTTATGCTAATGCCCCGGCGTTGGCTATGCGACACCGTAAAACGCCGTTTGCATAAAGTTCCAGCAGCCGTTCCTTTTCGTCTTCATCCTCGTTCTTCATCGAACTTTCGCGGTACATCGGTCCGGCTTCGTGCCACTTTCTCCGTGCAACAATTCCCGGGTAAATACCGCGCGTAACAACATGATAAACGAGTCGTTAAAGCAACTCGCGCTACTACGCCACGCTGCTTACGTAATTGTAGTTGGACTTTCCGTCACGAGGATCGGCTAATTGGTAAAAAGGCAGTGGGTGAAACAAAAAAAAAAAAAAAGAAAAGAGAAAAAGAAAGAAAAGAACGAGCGGGGAAAAAACTGCGACTACTTATGACCTACGTACGACGTATGACAGAACGAGGGCCTGTCTCGAGAGTGTGACGCAAGAATCCGGTGGTTGGCAAAAACGTTCCCCGTATGAATACGCATCGCGATATATGTATACTATTGCCGAACCTTCCTGGAAGGGAAACAACTCCATACCTCCCTCTCGCGCACACACACTCTCTCTCTCTCTCTCTCTCTCTCTCTCTCTCTTTCGCTCTTTCGCTCTTTCTCTCTTTTTCTCGCTCTTTACCTCCCTCTCTGTTCTCCCTGTTTCTCTTTCTATTCTCGACCGCGCCGGCCCCGTCACGCCCAACAAACTTCTCCTACGGTTCGTAGCGGGCGTCACGCCGCATTTATAATGTTTCCACGTTCGAGTTTCGACGGGTCTACTCCCGAGGAGGCCAGCACCGCGGGTGGAAAGCAAGGACAATGGAGACCACTCGTCGGCGCCCTTTCGAACCGGCCCGAGAAAAGCCGCGCCGATCTATGATTGGCTTCGATCGTTTTGCTTTGATTTCCAAGCGAGTCCATCGTCTAGTTTCAGTCTGTTT